TTATGATAAAACAAGGCCAGCCTGCTGATCGTTTCAATAATTATTTAATTAAGAACTGCCAAATGGATTCTTGTAATACTAGACAGGCTTTGTTTTTTTCATTTACCATTAAGTGCTAAAACTCAAGTGCAATTTTCTTTTTGGCATTGTGGTGCATGAATATGTAAAGAATTTGCAATCTGTAGAGATAAATCTTCAGAGATAAATGGTAGAAAGTACAAAAAACAAAATGATGTATGATTTTAAAAATACTGACTACCTATAATCTGAAAGCTAAGATGTAAAAATGTTACACTGTACCCGACTTTTCTGTTTTTTTGTATGGAGTGAAATGTCGTTCATAATGTGAGCTGCCTGTGAGTGTTGTTTTAGGGGTGTTATAAGCACTAAGGGGTTTCTGTCACACTCCATTACAATTCTTATTTTATTGATGTATTCTGATCTTCTATTTTGATTTGTGAAAATAAATAAAAAAATTAAAAATAAAAGGCTCAGGTACAGCGAACAATGAACATCAGCATGAAAACAACATCCCCAGGAGGGAGGATGGATGGAGCTATAAACTGGACAACCTCAAAACAAAACAAAAAAAGAAATATGAGCAGAGTTAAAAAACTTCCAGCAGAGAAACAACCAGAGAAAATTTCTGACTCCAGGGGATTGGATAAGAAATGAACAATAATTTCTGATTTGTAGAGGTAGAGGCTTAGAAAACAATGCAACTAAGAACTACTTTCTGCTTTTCTCTTAGAAATCTGATAAAACATTTTAGAGATTTCAGTCTCAACAAGGCAAAGTGTGGAAAACCTTGATGGCTATAAATACTTGTGAGGGCCGCCTGGTTAAAGTAAGAGGCGTGTTTACCTGTTCAATGAGGCGAGCACAGTTTGGATTTGATGTGAAACAAATTCTAAGTGTCCTCCTCTCAGCGCAGACCCAGAAACATCTATGGCTAGAAGGAGCGCAGCAGGTTCTCCCTTGGATGAGAGAAAACATTTTTTCACAAAGGTCCATTTGTGTAACAACAAACAAAAATCTGGAACATCAGCGAATCCATTACAACCGAAGTAAATCTTCTGAGAATGAGGTTTACCTTCCCGGAGTTCAGTATTTCATAGGAGCCCAGGCTGAGCTCCGGCTTTCTGTCTCTGTCAACCCGAACCCCCTCCACCCCCTCGGTGGGCTGGTACTGCTGCCATGGCACTGAGACACAGAACAGCAGAGGAACAAAACAGCTGGAGAAAATGTGAGCAATGAAAAAAAATGATCCATTTAATGACACTTCAATGGTGCAACTTTTCTTTCTTTCTTTCTTTTAAAGTACTGAACAAAGTGTTTTTAAATGATACCCTCACTGAGTTTCCCGCAGAAAGGGCAGTAAAACCTCTGACCACAGTCCTGCCAGCTCATCGCCGGGCACATGGAGGCTCCGCAACTACAACCCACAACACAATCTGCTTCTCTGCAGAGGGGGAGGGAATTCTGGTGGCAAAAACAATAAATAAATTATAACAGAACACATACCTGCTTAACTTGAAAATACTATTAAGGCAGAAAAACAGATTTATTTTCCGTCATTCAGCCTCTGATGAAGAAACTAAATTAACTATGAAGGTAGATTTGTGTCTCTATTATTCTATTAAAAAAAGGTTGCTTCAATCAAAAAATATATTTTCAATTTAAAACACCTTTATTTCAATGAAAAAAAACTTTTCGATCAAAGAAAAAAAGTATTTGAATGCAAAAATATAGTTGAGACTCAAAAAAGTCAATTTGAACACTGCTGTTCTTTGATTGAACATGTTTTCTTTGATACAAGTCAAGTTAAATTTTTTTGTTTTAAGCAACTTTTTAATGAAAGTAAGTAACACTGTTTTTTGATGGGACCTTGAACCGACCTCGGAGGCAGTTTGCTTGATAAAAGGAGTAACCAGCGCTCCTATTGGCAGCCGGCTGAGCAGCGCCATCTGACCGTCACACGGGACGCAGTACGTCAGAGAGCGGATGGCCAAGGGGCTCACGTTGCCTGCAACATAAGGATAGGATCATTAAAAAAAAGAAACAATGCTAAAGAAAAAGGTAAACATAAAAGCTTAAAATACCTAAATCGTTATTCATTTCTATGGCATTGAATATAACAAGATGAAAGAAAAGTTCAAATATCAGGCCTGATATGTGTCATAAAAAGCTGCAGAAGTCTCTGTAATCACATAAATGCATTGAATCCATGGCTGCAGCTATTTTTATCAGTTAATCCGTTTATTAGTTTTTTGATTCACCTAAAAGGAGATACTTTCAGTTGTAAATCGCAAAATTGTCGAAATGGCAAAAATGTTTAAAAAAATATACCTAGATATACAGTGGTGTCTGAAAGTTAACATACCCTCTCATTAAAGAAAAAGACAAAAATCCCCCTACTAATTCAAATAATACACAACTGAAAAAGTTATAATAAATAAAAATGTACTAAATAAGTAAAAATTTGATTTTGAATTTCTCTTAAAATTTATTCTAAAAAGACAAATGAAAGCATCTTGCTCCCAAACAGTGAACTAACATACCTTTCAACAGAATAGAATAGAATTCAACTTTATTGTCATAACAATGTTACAAGTACAAAACAGGGAAATGTAGTTTGCATCTATCCTGAAGTGCTACACAGGATCTAAATATTTATTTACATGTGCACAGAAACTTTGCATGTATTGACTATAAATTGTATAAATATACAGAGTAATTGTAAGAGGCTATAAAATAAATAAATATGGAAGCTATGTACAGATTATGCAAGAAAGTTAGGATATGGAGGCTTAGGTGCAGAAAACTAACTCAACATTTCCTGATCATTACAGAAAACACCTGATTTCAGTGATTGCCTCAAAGTGTTGCTTAAAATTTTAGTTCAGGAGCTCCATCTGGCTTGTTTACTTCTTTTATTCATTAATAAACACACACACACATAAATATATTAACGAAATTTCTTTTTGTTTATACTTGTGTATATAAACTAACAAAATAAATCTGACTAAGTCTAAGTCTCTGAGTCTAATATATATTAAAAATCTATATCATAATTTCCTTTTTTTTTATTATTTTTACTTTTTTAATTTATTTTACTGGAAGCTGATTTTCTCTCTGTTTTAGGTGAGGTACAGGATTTTTTTTTATTGAAATTGAAAACGTTTAAATGTTTTGCAGAGTTTCGCTGTAATTATTGCTGTAGGCAGGTTAGTTGGTAAGAACCAAATAAGCTTTTTATTATTTCAATCATCAATTTGTCATTTAGGCTTTAATTAAATTCATGATGAATATCGCCTCTGCTACACAAGAAGCCAGAAAGGTTTTTTTTTTTACCTCTGTCCTCTATGACACATGTTGTAGTTGCCAGAGGAGGCAGCCGGGAGAAATGCTCCGAGATAAAAACTTTCCCCTCCCACTCCGTTCTGTCCTCTGCCATCACCTTCACCTTCACACAGAGAGAGAGCTGTCAGCACACAATGTTAGGCAACTACACAAGCTTCTGCTCATCTTCAGGTACTTTGCTATCTAAACATGTGGAAAATAAACTGCAGCCATTTGATACAACTATGATATGGAAGTAATGCCATGGAAAATACTCCTTTTCTTCTCGGAGTGACTAAAAGCTGGAATTAGAGAGAAAATCTGAGAATTAAAAGTGCATAAATGAACTTACTGCGCTTGGTAAGAGTTCAGGATTCAAACCATAACGGGACTCAGAGTTGGGAGACTGCAGAGAGGAAGGTTGATATACAAACATACATTATTTTGTTTCCAGCTTTAGAATAACTAAACATAAATGATTAAAATCACAAAGGCTAACTTCCATCAGTCATTCAAATAGAATTTGTGCCTTTCCAGCCTAAAATCCTTCAAATATCTTAACTAATTTTAGCTAACTTTCAAATGATTTAACTAATGTCCTATTGTGACTGAACAACTATAAAACACATTTTTTTTTTGTTCTTAAACCAACCTGAGGTGTCAAATTATGGTCCAGGGAAGCAGGATGTGGCAGACAGTCATTTATGCCCCCTAAAAAATAGAAATGGCAACCTCAAAGTAGAAAACAGAACACCCCTAATATATGAAGGCTTAAAAAAGGACAGGACACAATTTTCTAATCACATTATCTTGATTCGTATGGTGTTATTTATGAGCACAGTGAGATGAGCCCACCTTTAGAGACGGCTGCAACATTCCACAGCGGCTGCTGCTGGAGGGGACCGCTGGTGGAGGCCTGTGTTTCATTAGATCCAACGTTTTCATTAGAACCGACGCTTGGACGCAGCATTGTGACTGATGCAGGCAGTTGATTTAACTGAGGTTCAAAAAACGAAGGGCCAACAGGAGGAAGACTCTGAGTGGGTGATTGAGGCTGATTTAATAGACTTCGATATCCGTGTTGAGAATAGATTGAGGGATCTACAGCTCTGTAAGGATTAGGAGGGGAATGATTGGGAATATGCTGGGGGTAGAGAGGCGGCGACCCTTCGTTCATTAATGGAAGACAGTATGGCGGTATATTCCTTTCTTGGACTATAGGGGGAGCTGTGGATGAAGCACAAGCATCAGGAACACTCTGCTGCAAACTGTGATCATCACTGCGAACATAATGAGCGCTGTGATGAGTGTCATTCCAGGCTGAAAAGGCAGCAAAGCCACACTTGGAGTTATTTCCAGATGACTGCTGGGAAGGTGAAGAGCCAAGGCTGAGTTGTTGGAGGTGAGGCAGAGGATTGAAAAGAGGTCCTGCAGGCGTATCTGAAGACCAGCCATTGTGGACATCCATCATGCTCCTTAGAAATTAGAAATCAGTTTTTTTCCTCATTAGAGGCAGGACCTGAGGAGACAACAGAGAAAGGAAAAAACATCAAAGCTGGTTTGATATTAAAGGATATTCTGCTTGTCTTTTTGTAAAGTTTCTTTCATTTATCAGTGGCTAACTGTAAGAATGAAGGGTCACTAGAATTTGGGGGTTAGTTTCTATATTTCTCTGACAAAGAGCCATAAAGGAGGAAAAAATACCACGTCAGTCAGAATTTTCAGGATGATAAGTGGAGCTGGAAGGGTAAACCGGAGTTCTCCATCGTTGCATATGTCATGTCTATCTCTACCTCTTAATCAGAGGTTTGGCAGTCAGTGGGAGCCGTCTCTCCAACACCACAAAGTTTCCGGGAAGGCTTAGAAATGAGATTCCGAAAAATACGTCTAAATCAGATCATCACAAACCATTATTGTCTAACTAATCATTCCCATACTTGGCAGAGTAATGTCTAAAAGTTTTGCCAAATAGTCAAAATATGTCAAGATAAGGCACCTGTTATTTTCCAGAATTTTATTTATATTTTTTTTACTTATCTGCTTCAAAATAAACTACACCTGCTTTATTTAGGTGAAACAAACTAAATTAAATTATTGTCGATCCAAAAAAGATAAAATGGGTCTATCAGAATTATTAAAAAACAATAATCCAACTGGTGTGAGTCTTGGTTTGGTGGTTGCTTTAGTAATAGTAGTTTTCTGGCAGTGTTTTGTAACATTTAAAAGTTCGGAAGAGTGAGTATCGAGGTAAGTGTAAGGAAGAAAGTAATGCTGCAGCATCTGAGGACATTTTTGGCTTATTTCATCATCCTGACTGCTAAAGTTAGGATGATGAAATATTCATTTCCAAGAGCACCGTGCACAAGATATGAATGACATGAATAAGCAGGTTTTACTCATCCCAACACAACCCTGATACTAACCTGATAAATGATTAATTTAAAGAAAAACAGGGAACCAAATGATTTTATCCAAAATTACAGCCTGATCTCTTCAGTAAATTAGTCAAGTACATATACGAACATATTTCTAAACCTAATAAAGAAAACCTTCAAAACAGTAGAAGAATTTGTAGCTGAAAACCTAACATACATATAGTCTTATTCATATTTCATATATAAATATATATTTATTTTATATATGTAGGTATGCATGTGTGTATATATATATATATATATATATATATATATATATATATATATATATATATATATATATATATATATATATTTTATATATATATATATATATATATATTTTATATATATATATTTAGACAGATTTATTTTGTCATTTTGTATACACGAATGTAAACAAAAATAAATATAATTTAAAACAGCTCTAGACAAGTGCAGCCTTGAAAAACATTAATACATTAAAAAACAAATATATAAATATATAGCCACACACATATATATACACACATATATATATATATATATATACACACACATATATATATCTATACACACATATATATTTTGTTTATATATATATTTACGCACACATATATATATATATATATACATTTTTATACATACACACACATATATATACACACACAAATATATATGTTTGTGTGTGTCTATATGTGTGTGAATATATATATATATATATATATATATATATATATATATATATATATATATATATATATTGCGACTACTTCAGCTACTCCCTAAACCATATTAAAATCAAACTAAAGGGCTTTTTTTTCTTTTTTATTTCTGCCTCTTGGTTGTGTGCTAGCTAGCTAACGGTGACTCTCCTGACATAAATATATGCTTCTGTCGTAAAGAGGCTGCTGATACAGAGGCTGTAAACATACAGTTACTTCAGATTCACATACAGGTCAAATGAAAACCTTACATGAGCCAGAAATTCATGACAGCAGGCCGGGTGAACAGAGATACATCGGTACCCTTTGACACAGACGGAAACCAGAGCGCGAGCGCCTCTGTGGAAGTTAACGTTACGAACGTCTTCATTTTAATCTAAGCCCCGATAAAACGAAAACACCAGAATTTATATTAAATCAGAAAATAAATCCTTAGGGAATAAAGCAGAGAAGCATCTCTTTGGATGCAACACTACCCAGCCTCATCCAGTACCCGCACCATTAGCATCATGGAAAGCAAGAACTCACGCGGGACATTTCCGGTTGTCCTTTCAAAATAAAATGACTTTACCATTAAAAAAAAAAAAAATCAAATATAGAAAACAAAAACACAGTTTCTAAGCTAATGAGAAAATATAGATCTAATGACATATATATCTGGTTCTTTAAGTCTCTTTTAAAAAATTATGTAAATTATCTTAGAATAGGATTTTATCAACACCCTATATTTAATACCAAGGATCAGTTTAAAAAAAATCTTTCTTAGCCACAATTAAGGCCCACAGTAGGTTAGTGTTTTCTGTAATGAACAGTAGTGGGTCCAAAGAGCTGCAGGTTCCAGACCCCTGATTGAAAGATCAAATGCCTTTCACCTATTTTCTGAATTAATTGTTTAAACCCGCAATTTTGCTTCTTGAGGTGAACTTTATGTGTTCCAGATAATATTGAATATCTGCCACATTTTTGATAAACAAATGCTGGAAAAAAAATTGTATCTTGCCATTTGTTATGAACTGAACTATTTAATTTTTATATGAGCTTTAATAGAACAGAATAGGATTAAGCATACACATGTCAAAACCAAAGACTACTCCGTAGGATGCAAAGATTTCGTTAGAGTAATCTTTGAATTCCAGGAAATCTGGAAGAATAATAATTACTTGACTTAATTTCAAAAGAAATAATCAGTCAAACCTGGGCTTTTCAGGTTTGGATCCCGCCCCCCAAAACATGCTGTAATAAAAACCACCCAACCCTCTTCCATTAACATGCTATACCAGTAAACTAAATCCTGTTCGTAAGAAAAATCTGTTGGCTAAAGCACAAAGGAGTCAGATTGAAACTGTTTTTATATCTGCATTAAGTAGAAAAAAAAAAAAAAAAAACTTCATATACAATAGTGAACATTTAATTACACAACTGCTGTATAAAAACATACCCGCTAAAAATATTTATAGTGAAAACAGCAATCAAACTCATCTGGCTCATGCCGTTGATAACATAAAGTGACTTCGGGTAGCTTTCTGGAATAATAGTGACTTTTAGTTCAGAAACTCTTTTACAATCTGGATTTTTTACGTAAAACAAAAATCAAATACAGTTAAGTTAGTCAAACAGCACCACTCAACAGTGCGGTATATAAAAACAACTTTAAACTTATGTTTTAGAAACTGAAATTATTCTGTACTTTACTAAACATCTGCAAATAATAATTTGAACGTTGCAGGAGAGTAGCTAACGAGAACTGGATGTGGAAACCCCAGGTTGGAGCAATTATTAAGTCTTTTATTTCAGCCTTTCTAATTGGAGGGGTCTAACAAGCTGGGGTGAATTACATACAGAAGCTACACAAACATCAACATTAGTATGCATTGAGCCAACAAGAATGGAACATAGAAACAAATGTTCACAAAACAAAAGGTTTTGGACGATTACAGCTGGTGGTAATGTCCAGAACTCTGCTGTGGTTCGTCTTTCCTGGATCGGTTGCTTTTCGGAGCAGTCCTTAAAATGCCGCTCTGCCTTTGTAGGGAAGTGATTCTGTTCCTGACGTAGTCCTTCACACCTTTCCAGGAGCGGTTCTCCAGAGCATGCGGCTCAGCCTCTAGGCAACGAACACAGTCGTCTTTGTGAGGCAGTTTTTGCTTTGTGATAAAACTCAGCAAGTGTTTTTCCACGGCCGAGACCTCTGCTTCGTTCCACGTACGTTTGGATTTCGGATGCGTACCTGCAGGGGCTAAATAAAAGGAAACACATAATTCTACAGTCATTAAATAGAATACAGAAAACCTTACATTATCTTGCTGAGTACATTAAAGGTATAGAGGAGAATAAAAAAAAAAAAATGCACATGCACAACTCTGTACCCGCTACCAAGAGGGAACGCTTATTAAACGCGTGCAAGAGCGTGCATGAGTCCATTTCTCCTCGTGCACTCTCTGTTTAAAAGTTGCTTTTTGCATCACTCATACAAGTTTACTTTCCAAATGAAGAATTTGCAATTTTTCCACTATGTCAGACTCACCACCGGGAGGTGAAAATAGGGACGAGCACGTAGGACGGCTTTACGTAAACATATCACCAGAATGATTGACAATTAGGAGGACCACTTACTTTGATGATCTACCCAGAAAAAACAAAACAAACCCTCCACTATACCTTTAAGTGCAACATTTAACCCTTTATAGGGCACTCAGTGAAATACTTTGAAAATCTAAATTTCAAAATGTTATTGGAATCCAGGACAAGACCTTACTTCCTTTGTAACATTAAAAAATATGGATATTTTGAATGCAAAAATGAATGTCAACATGATAACAAGAAACACCAACTTGTCCAAATATATTAAGAAAAATAACAAGTGCTTCTATAAGAAATTAATGAAAGAAAAAAATTTTGGTACAACATAACCTTAGAGGCATTAATGCTGATACTGGCACTTACATTTTTCAGTTTATAAACCTAAATATAATTGTTTACTAGGCTTTTTAACTTTTTAATTTAACTTTTTAACTTTACTCTTTAATTTTTCAATTAGCTTTTTACCTTTTTTCTTGACTTGTTAACTTTTTTCCCCCAACTTAATTTTCAGTAGGTAATAAACCATTCAAGGGCTCGTCTAATTGGTCAAATGACAAAATAAGATGTACACTGAGGGGTGGAGAGGTCTCCATTTATAAGGAGGATGCAAGTGATAAAAAACGGTAACTTGCCCTAGGTGCAATAACTGGCCATTCATCTTTAGCCATGTTTGCTAACACAGACTCCATTATTTGCATAAATGAAGAAATTTTATTCAATCTAGGCATTCAGAAGTGGATAAGACAACTGGCTGGAGTTCAAAGCGAGCATCAGGATGACAAAGAAAGAGAGTTGGAGTACATTTAACATGACTAGGCTGCTCGTAGGGTCTCAGAAACAGTTGATCTGTTACAGACAATTATCAGCTGGATTTAGAGGAAAGAGTCCAAAAAAACAGAATATCTAGTGATCAGAAACTAGGTGGATAAAAACACCTTGAAGTCAGACTAGAAGTAACATAGTGTTACATCATGCTCAATCTGGGAAAATAAAAGAGCTACAGCAGCACTTTGGTCTACTGAAAACAGCAAACTACAACAGCTTTGGGCACACACTTTTAATCAATCACGCTTAATCAATCCAGAGTGGGATTTTTTTAAATAGCTGTAGTCAATTATTTTGATTAGAAATACGTCACATGCTGATTTCTTTCTTCATTTCAAATATTGTGCAGCAATATGGCACTAGTTTAATTGGAAGCATCAGAAGTATAGTTATAATTTTCATGTAGATGTGAATACATTATGCATTTTCACATCCAAATATGAATGGACCACAAAAAAAACATAAAAAAAAACACTATTAATATTTATAGCTAATTGCACACATACCTTTTTCTTTTGAACTACTAGACTTGGGAGGAGCATTCATGATGTAGCTTGAGGTTACTCCATTATTTAGAGGTTGATAAAGATTTGATGGACCAAAGCTGCAACTGGGGAATAAGTTGTAGTGCTGCAAAACTGCTTCCTGTCCGTTTGGAGATTGGAATGTTCCTGGTAAAACAAATTAAATAAATAAAGCTGATTAGGTTTCCAAGAATTAACAGTTGGTTTTAGAGTCCTTTATTTGTTTCTCTGCAAGTTTTATATTTCCCATTTAGTTACCAGAGCTCTGTGATGCCCCCTGCCTCAGCTGGCTCTTGGTCTTTGACTGATCTTTGGAGAAGCCGCTCTGTCTCTGCAGAGCAGTGATCCTATTCCTGACGTAATCCTTGACTCCTCTCCAGGTTCGGTTCCTCAGCGCATGCGGCTCGGCCTCCACGCATCGGACACAGTCGTCTTTTTGGGGCAGCTTGTGTTCTACAATAAAACGCGTCAGATGCTTCTCTACGGCATGGACCTCTGCCCTGTCCCATTTCGGCTTGGCTTTGTGACGCAAGTCTGACCCTGGTGAGGAAAAGAAAATAACTTAATGGTTTGTTTTTATCCATTTTCATATCTCAGGTTTTTTGAAAAAAAAAAAAACATTTTTTTTTTTGTTAAAACCAAAAAAACTCAGACCTAAGGATGAATAATAAGACTTCTAATGGCCAGCAGAAATGACTACCTTTTTCTTTATGAAACACTGAAGGACCAAATCCTGAACTGGGACCAGATCCTGAACTGGGACCTGTACTGGGATTCTCTCTGGTTTTCTTCTCTCCATCTGAAAGCTTTGGTGGTGCTATAAAATATATAGAATAAAAATCCTGTTTTTTCCCCAAGTCTACCACTTAAAAAAAATAAATAAATAAAAAAAATATATATTTGTTTCAATGGAGGATTTAGCCATAAAGTTATACATTTGTTTGCGTTACCAGAACTCTGCTTTGGTATATGCTTGCTGGTGTCAGTTCTTGAATTTGCTGTTTTTTTAGACAGACCAGCTCGTCTTTGCAGAGCTGTGATCCGGTTTCTGACATAGTCCTTCACGCCCCTCCAGGAACGTTTCCTCAGTGCTTCTGGCTCAGCCTCTAGGCACCGAAAACAGTCTTCTTTTTGTGGTATTTTATGCTTCTCAATAAAAGTCATCAAGTGTTTTTCTACGGCTTCAGCCTCTGCTTTGTTCCATGCAAGTTTGGCTTTGCTGTGGAATCCTCCAAAAGAAAGAAAATATATCAAGTTGGTCATCCTTCCTCTTAGGAGATTTTTTTCTGTCAAATGGATGCTGTTTTACTCTCAGCGTGGGGGTGTGCATCAGGCTGATGAACCGATTTAAGGTGGTGGCTCACTGAAGGACACTTTTTAAGTGTTTTATTTCCAAACACCTCTACAAGTTTAACTCCTCCCGACCAATAATTGGAGCAGTCACACTTCACAGCTATCGTTCTGTAAGTCAGCTGCCAGATCTGCTAATGCAAATGCTAACCAAAGCTATCATTTAACGTACCAGTTCAGAAGAAATGTGGTAACCTCTGAGCCTTCTAATGCTATGTTCATGGTACGTTTAGACCGCAGGCAGAGTTGGAAAATTGAACTTTTGCTGTTCGACGCGCCACATCAACCAATCAGAGAAGCTGATCTGTTAGCTGATTGTTACAGGCAAAAAAAGGATAGGGTAGCTTCATCCAACGTGCATCAGACCAACTTTTTGACCGCACTGCTAGAGCAGCACAGATGCTTCAGCCGTGCGTTTTTGCTGCTCCTGCTCAAACCCATGGTGCTTTAAATCAGTTTAAGGCTAAGGGTTTATTAACCCAAATCAGTAAGGGTGTATGTATTTAACACATTTTGAAAATGAAGGCTGCACACATTCAATATTCATGGTTTTACTGAGAGCATATTTGGTCTATGCTATGTTCTGCTAACCTCATAGTTAACACAAAAGTTACAGCAGTACTAAAGAACTTTCAGCTTTGGTCAATTTTGGCTCCCCCTATTGGACAGAAGCTGTATTGATATGCCGGAAGGAAGATAACATTTGCCATGAAGACCAGCGTGGTCAAGTCCTGATTTCTTTTTTGAACTGCTGTTTGAAGGATAAATAGCGATGAGGTAATGAATCTAACTGTGGAGAAACAATGTCATTGATTATGTTGAAAATAAGGAAATATGAGAACATTTTATGAAGGTTAAAAGGTCACGTAGTGTTGGGTTATAGGCTGTTAATATCTCACAGTTTGACTCAGAGTAGATCGGTTTTTGATTCCTAGAAGCGGCTGGCTAGCTCAAGTGTTAAGTCACCCGTCATGCAAACAGGAAGCCTTGGTTCGTATCCCAGCTGAGGGGGAACTATTATAAAGG